AATCCCCGTTATTCATCGATTTATTTGAGCGGGTGCCAGTAACGTCTCCATTCATCCCGGTTGCGTGCTAGCATAGCCCAATGGTATCTGTTCGTTCTAGGAACATGCAGAGCCTCAAACCGATCATTTAGGGTCTTGACGAAGAAGTCTGACCATCTTATAGGTGGGCGTCCACGTGATCTTTTGATGTCCCGTGGAATCCAATCAGTAATGTCTCTAGTCCAGCGGTTGTCTGTAAACCTCATTACGTGTCCAGCCCATCTGATTTTTGATGTCTTGGCAAATGAGACAGCGTCCCTGATTCTTGAGCGTTGACGAAGATCAGAACTCCGGATTCTATCTCTCATTTGAGTGAATCGTGATATTCCAAGCATAGTTCTTTCGATTCCTCTTTGAGAGACCCGAATAGCTTTCTCATCCTGTTTTCGTAGGGTCCAGGTCTCTGAGGCATATGTTAATGCAGGAAGAATAGTGGAATCAAAGAGATGTGCTCATAGCTGGAGGTTCTTTGTCCTTTTAGTTATTTCTTCAATGCTCTTGAAGGCATTTCAAGCCGCTCTCTTCCTCCTGCGCAACTCAGGTGCCAGGTCATTCATCATGTTGATTTCTCGACCTAGGTATATATAACTGTTGCATTCGGAGATGGTGGTTCTGTTGAGAGCGAATGGAGAGTCAGGAACAAGGCTGTTTCTCATAAACATTGTCTTCGTAAGATTCAGCTGTAGTCCTATCTTTCCACACTCACGGTCAAAGTCGGCCAGCATTTGTGCCGCTTGGCTGATGTTTGGTGTTATTAGAATGATGTCATCAGCAAAGCGGAGGTGGTGTAGTTGCCGACCATCTATCTTCACTCCCATGTTTTCCCATTCTAGTTGTCGCATGATGTTCTCAAGGGTGGCACTGAAGAGTTTTGGTGAAATGGTATCACCCTGCCGAACCCCTCTCTTGATATGGATGATTACTTCTTTGTAGAATGGTGAGATCTTGGTAGTGAATCCGCAATAGAGCTCACGAAGGATACTGCTGTATTGAGTTTGTACGCCCTGATTGGCTAGGGCTTCCATGACCACTTCCATCTCAACAGAATCAAAGGCCTTCTTTAAATCAATGAACGTTAGACAGAGCGGCATCTTGAACTCCCGAGATACCTCAATGAGCTTGGTTATTGTGTGGATATGGTCGATGGTACTGAATCCTTTTCGGGATCCGGCTTGTTCACATGGTTATCCTTCATCTAGTGTTTTGCTAATCCTATTCAGGATGACTCGAGTGAATAGTTTGTAGATGACAGACAATAGGTAGATTGGGCGATAGTTACCAATGTCGTGGATGTCTCCTTTCTTGTATAGTAGTACAGTCCTGCTGGTTTTCCATTGGGATGGAACCTTGCATTTAGACAGGTAGCATGTGAAGAGTCGAGCCAATGTATTGATGAGTACTGATGGTAAGTTCTTCAGGTGTTCAGGTCTGATCTTGTCTGGGCCAGGTGCTCTTTGTTTCTTTACCGACGAGATGGCATGTTGGGATTTCAGAAGGGAGAACATTGGGAACGACATATCCATCATGTGGTATGTGGTATGTGGGCAAGTGGATGTGGCTATTAAAGAGATCTGAGTAGAAGTCATGAATAATCTTCTCCATTGCCCTTCTGGAATATGTGATAGATCCATCATGATGTCGGAGGGCAGTCATCTTGGTTTTGTAGTTGGTGAAGGACAGGCGGGCATTACGAATGTTTTTCCCAGCTTCTGCTGCATCTACCAGAACTGCTGCTCTCCTGTTTTTGAGGTCATCCTTGATGGCTTCTCTGCACTGTTTTGCCAGTTCGGATGTTCGCTTGTGGTTGCCTGAGGCATGTGCCAAGCCACGTTGGCGAATAAGTTCAAGAGTGTTCGAAGAAAGACGGTTTTTTGTGGTTATCTCTCTCTTGGCATTCCTTGCACAATCATGGAGGTGCTGAATCATTTGATCGTATTCCTCATCAATGTTGTCAATGACGGCATCTTCCCATGTTGCCGCAATAGAGCCAAAGAGCTCCCAGTTGGTGGTTGTTCTGGGAGTCCTCTTCTTAAACCTTGCATTCTTTTCTCCTCGTTCTGTGAGGTAGAATTTTGCACGAAGAAGATGGTGGTCTGATCCCGTTTGGAATTTTGGGACAACAGCAACATCGGTTAGGCAAAACCGCCGATTGAATATGATGTGGTCTATTTCATTGTGGAACCGTCCATCGGGAGACTCCCATGTCCAACGTTTAGATTCAGCCTTTTGGAATTGTGAGTTACCATGGAAGGTTTTGGTTGACATGATGAACTCAGACAGTCTGTCACCCTGTTCGTTCCATTCCAGGCCATGGGTTCCGATGTGGAGTTCATCGACTGATCTTCTTGGTCCTATCTTGGCATTAAAATCACCGACAATGATCTTGTAGAAGGTGTGATCTTCTTTATAGAACTTCTCCAGCTCCATGTAGAATTTCTCAGTTTCTCTTTCACCATAACTGGATGTTGGTACATAGACAACAAAGATAGAAACTGCTGGTAGTGAGCCACATTTATTCAAGTGTAATCGTCCGATTCGGGTTGTTAGACATTCAAATGAATCAATGCTCGTGACTAAGTTTGTGTTGACAAGGATACCGACACCACCGACGCCTCTGTTATCACATGTTCCAAGGAACAGTTCTTCTCCAGTGTCGAAAACAGCATGATGGGACTGATGTCTTCTCGTTTCGTTCAGACCAATGATGTCGTACTTGATCTTTCGCGCTTGTACCATAAGGTCTTCAATGGATGCAGCAGATGCCAGCGTACGAGCATTAAAAGTACAGACAATCATTTTTGTTTTTCTGCATTTTGGCAGCCTATGTCTGCCTTGGTGTTTTATCAGCCTCTCCTTCCATATCCTTCTCGACTCTGCATATTCAGGGTTAGGGAAATGAGATCCATTTATTACTGGATTTGGCATATCAATTTGGTCTATTTGGCATAGACCACGGATAGCTTGCCAGGCTCTGCTGTGTGGGTTGGATATTTAAGGTACCCTGAAAACTTAGAGAAAAGTAAATAAATAGTCGCGCAGCTACCATTTAAAAATATTTAGACTACTTTAATCATTTGAAAATAAATGGCTCATTTTTAGAACATAGAGGTTGACTTAACAGAGATATTTTTCACATATATATATAGTAGCATCATCTCAAATTAAGGAAATAAAAAATTATTTGCTGGTATTTAGAATAATTAAATTGAACTTACCCATATTTATCTTACCTAAGTAAAACTAAGATAACTATGAGTTTTATGATTCCAACATTATTTAGAGCTGCATAGTATTCCATTATGTATATATAACACATCATTATAGTCCATTTATCTGTAGTTGGATACCTTGGTGATCCCATAAATTATCTATTGCACTATACTAAATGCTGTAATGAATAATGGTTTGCACGTGTCATTTTTTATGAATGATTTTATATCCAGTGATAGATGTCCCAGAGTGGAATTGTTGGGTCAGATGGCAGCTCAATTCTAAGTTTTTGGAGAACTCATGAAGTTTTCCACAGAGTTGGAACCATACAACATTCCTCCAAGTTCCTGATGAGAGTTCCTTTTTCAACATATGCCCATGGACACAGATTGTCCCTACTATTTCTCTCTCTCTCTCTCTCTCTCTCTCTCTCTCTCTCTCTCTCTCTCTCTCTCTCTCTCTCTCTCTCTCTTTCTCTCTCTCTCTCTTTGCTTTTTTGGGTACACCCAGCAATGCACAGGGATTACTCCTGGCTTTGCACTCAGGAATTACTCGTGGAGGTGCTCAGTGGACCATATGAAACGATGAGAATTGAACCCAGTTTGGCCATGTGCAAGGCAAATGCCCTACCCACTGTACTATCACTCCATCCCCCCTACTTTTTTTAATATGTACCATTCTTACTGGTGGAAATGGTATCTTGTAATTTTGATTTGGATTTCCCTAATGCTAAGACCATAATGAACATTTTTTTCAAGTGCTTCTTGGCCATATGCCTGTTTTCCTCTGAGACGTGTTTATTCATTTTTTCTCCCCATATTTGGATTGGATTTAATATTTTTTGATGTTTGTAATTGCTTTATATGTGGAATATCAGCCCTTTATATGATCTGTTGAATTAAAATATTTTTTCCATTTAGTTAGCTATCTTTTTGTTTTAGTTCATGTTTCTTTTGCCATGTAAAAACTCTTTAATATGATATAGCCCCATTTGTTTATTTTTTCTTCTGTTGCCTTTGCCAGTGGCATCATGTCATTGAAGACACCATCGAGGTCCAAATCTTCTAGTGATTCCTTATGTTTTTCTCAATGTACTTTATAGTTTTTAGTTGGCTCTCAATATCTTTTATCGAGTTCGATTTGATTTTTGTGTAAGATGTGAGATATGTATCCAGCCTTGAGTTTCTATGCCTGGTTATCCAGTTTCCCCATTCAGCTTCTTAATGATATTTCCCAGCCATGTTCTACTTTTGGGTACCATAAAAGAATCTGTATTCAATGAAGTACCTGTTGAGCAACTATTGATTGCTTACTTGATACTATTATCATCATATTATTTGAATATAGTATATTAAAATTAATAAAGTTATTGTAATAACAAGCAAAAATAATGCCAATTTAATAACAAGTCGGTAGAATTACCAGGATGTACACTTTGGATGAATAAACTGGTGTTTATGCTATGAGATATATTTGGTTATGCATAAAATAATGTGTATGGATGAACTAAAGTAGGAAATGGTAGAAAGTTTGGGTAACATAGGATTCCATATTAAAAGCTAAAAATGTTTTTAAATGTGTATTAGAATTATTGCTAGACATAATCTTTGTTTTACATATAGTTTTAAGTATACTGAATGTATACTTCAGCAAATGTTCTGCGATTACCCAGTATGTGTGTAGCTTTTCATACCCACATGTAAAAGGAAATGCCTCCTGTTTTATGCTCTGAATACTTTCCTTTTCCACAGACATTTCCACTGGGCCTGGGAGATGGGCAATTCTATTCATGGACAGATGGTTTGAGAAGAAAGGACTGGCATGACTATGAAAGCATCCAGAAAGAGGCTATGCGCTCAGGTATGAAGTTCAATATCAGCCAACGTGCTGCTTTCCTTACTATAGTTCATCATCTGTCACTTATACTAATTAGTATTTCTGCTACACATCAGAAGGTATGTCTCATGAGGAGGTCTTCATTAAAGTTGTATGGATCTACAGGGCTTTATATTCCATACTAATCTTCAATAATTTCTAGGGGTATCCTAGGATGGGACAGGGAGTTGTCACTAGGAAAGATACGTCTCATGTCAGATTCAATAATTAACTAAGTTCTAAGCCATACAAGACTTTGAGAAGATGCCATGATTCTAGAAAGTGTCAAGGGCTAAAGCAAGTTGGTATATCATAGAAACTGGATACTTGAACTAGTCATTCTTACATAGAAATAAAGTAAAATCAAGTAGGGCACCTTGGGTGCTTTGAAATTAAAGGCTTGAATTCTAAATATACAAAACATGTAACTTCTTGGAAAAGGTGTTAAAGGAAACAAAGCCTGGAAAGAATAAATATTTCGATTGTTGGAAAGGGGAATGAAAAGAAAATAACATTAGAAGCACAGTGAAAGGAGGTATATATTCTATTTATTTCACCAGTGGAACTCTTTCTTTCATCATGGGAATATAATAGAATTAAGAGAGATATTGTTTCCTGAAGGGCTGGAGTGATAGCACAGCGGGTAGGGCATTTTCCTTGCACACGGCTGACCCGGGTTTGATTCCTCCATCCCTCTCAGAGAGCCCGGCAAGCTACTGAGAGTACCCTGTCCACATGGCAGAGCCTGACAAGCTCCCTATGGCATATTTGATATGCCAACAACAGTAATAAGTCTCACAATGGAGACGTTACTGGTGTCCGCTGGAGCAAATCAATGAACAACGGGAGGACAGTGTTACAGTGTTATTGTTTACTGAAGAATATGTGGACAGCTCTAAGACAGTACCTTCCTGGTCAGAGGGTAAGGGCTGTAAGTCAGTTTTGCTCATAACTTGTCCCATAAGCCAAATGAGATTGAGGGGGCTTCAACCATTAAATTTCCCATTGGAAATGGCTCATATGAAATTGTGCAGGGCTGTGAAATATTTTGAGCTCCAAGTCAGGTGTGGTTGATTTAGTTATAGATTTTTCTATTTTCTTTGTTCATATATTTTTTCAAAATAACATTTTCCAAATATTTTTTTTTCTAATTCACTTTTCCCCTTGTACTAAATTCAGTAAAAACGGTTCTTACTGTTCTCTGTTCTTTAACTTTGTCCAGTGCTGTACCTTACAACTCTTCTCAGAAAGCTTTTCTAGTCTTTTGGATCTTTCACTGTAAATGTGCAATAGCACTATGTTTATCTAATTAATTATGATAATTAATCTTGGGTACCATAAAAAATGTGTATTTAACAAAGTACCTGATTAGCAGTTACTGATTGGTTACTTAATACTATCATTACCAGATTATTAGAATATAGTTAATTTAAATTAATAAATTAAATTGAAATCACAATTAAAAACAAAGCCAATTTGGCACCAAAATTCGTAGAATAACCAGTATATACATTTTGGACAAATGAAACAGCATGTATACTAAGAGATACATTCTCTAAATATATTTTTAATCTATTAAAATTAATAAATAAATCTATTTCTTTTTCTCACCACTAGCTTAAAATGTTCACATCATCTAACTAGTGCCTACACAAGTTAGACATAAAATGATAATAAAAGAGCAAAAATCTGTTGAAGATTTTCAACAGATTGGCTTGTCTTGGGTGCTAGACATATGTGTTTTATTTAAACCTCTTACTTAATACCTCCAGTAGTTTTGTACTGATATTAGTATCTTCAGCATGTAAAAAGATAAACAAAGAAAGAAAAAGAGAAGCAAATAGAACTGAGTCTTTTATAATTTGTTAAGTATTTTCCAAGGTCAAACAACTAATAATTGGCTGAACTAGATTAAAAGACAGATCTTCCGCTTCATTACTTCCTTCTCTCCAACACCAAATGCTAGGGTAATCTAAAAAAGTGACAAGAGCACATATGGGCTAAAGACACGACTGGGTCCACAGACTAGTTTGCCCGTCCATGAATTACAGAAGTGGCAAATCAGTTTATGTCCCTGATAATCTACTTTGCAGAATAGCTGTGAAGATTAAAGATAATAGGCTTACACATTTAGTCAATTCAAATTAACTTAATGAGAATTGTAGTTATTAATTCACATGAGATTCTTCAACTTGATTTTCTACATGCACCCTTTACTTGTACCTATGTTTCTTTTTTTTTAATTTTTATTAGTGAGACACCATGAGGTACCTATGTTTTTTATATCAAGTCTATTATATCGTATTTGTTTTGCTTCGTTCCACCCTTTCTGCTTCTTGGATAAATAGATCTTTCATGTCCTCATCCTTAATGTAGTTAAAGAAATTGACCTACAACAAATTGATAATGTATCAAGTTTTCGAAAGTGTAAGTTTTATAATGTTTTTTTTTTTAATTTTGTAATTTTGCGAGGGGGGGTGTATGACATGTGGGTATGGTCAGAAATGCTTTCCACAACTGAGCAGCATTGCCTAAACTGTTTGATTTTTAACCACACCAAGCAGTGTTTGGGGCTTCCTCCTGACTCTGCATTCAGGGATTACTCCTGGTGAAGTTGAGAGCCCCATATAGGGTGCAGGGATTGAACCCCAGAAAGCTGCATACCAAGCAGCTTATTATCTCTCCAGCCCTCTATAGAGCATTTAAACATACATTATGTTTCACACTTTGAAGATTTATGAAGAGATTTGTATATGACAAATGCAATAGACTATATTATTTAAAATGTGTAATATAAATAAGTGACTGCACATATGCACAGTTATGGACTCAAATCTTCATTGACAACATCTAAGCTAAGAAAAAGAATTCATTGTGCTCTTCTATCCCCACAACTTCAAAAACATGTGCTTACTCTTTTTGTTTCTCTGTAGGTTTTTCTTTTCCTAAACAAATATAATTGTCTTTTGTCTTTGAACTTCGAAAAAGAGAACATATCGCATGACTTTTTGATATGTTTCATGTCTCTCATGTCAAGCTGATTCATTTTTCATTCTCGTTTTTGTTTTATATATTATTTATTTAAAGGTTTTTTAACTTGAGATAGGGGCAGAAATTTCCCAAGGAAGATATTTAGTAGTTGATTTTGTATGTCTAAGGAATTTGCACTTCACTTATATCTCATAGCTGTTTACCAAAGGTAATAAAACAATTTTTTTCTAATCAGTAATTGATGGAATACCTTCTGATCCATATTCACTTAAATGGTTAATTTTGATTATTTCCTAATTTGGTGAATGATAGAATATCTCAATTTAACTTTCATCTGCATCTCAGTTATCTTTATATATCTGATTTGTATGAGTATGTGTGTGTGTGTGTGTTTGTGTATGTGTGTGCTTGTTGTCTATTTGTGTTTCTTTTTAAAATCCTCCTCACTTTCTACTTCTAATTTTTGGATTATTTCTATTCCTTATTTATCTACAGCATTCTCTGAATTTATTTTGAATAATTAAATTTTGTGGTATATATGGTGCAAAGGTCTGGAGCAATAGCACAGAGGATAGGGTGCTTGTCTTGCACGCAGCCGACCCAGTTGAGCTGAGTTCAATTCCTCCAACCCTCTCGGAGAGCCTGGCAAGCTACTGAGAGTATCTCGCCCACACAGCAAAGCCTGGCAAGCTACCCATAATGTATTCGATATGCCAAACACAGTAACAGCAAGTCTCACAATGTTACAGGGCCTGCTGGAGCAAATCGATGAGCAACGGGAGGACAGTAGCAGTGACAGTGACAGTGATGGTGCAAAGTATTAGAATATGTAGACTATTAAAAAAATTGTATGTATTGTTTTAGTAATGGAAGTTATTAATTTCAATATTCAAATTTGAATTTTTTTTTTAAAGATAGCTCCATCTCGCCTGCACGGCAAAGCCTGGCAAGCTACCAGTGACGTATTCGATATGCCAAACACAATAACAAGTCTCACCAATGTTACTGGGCCCGCTCCAGCAAATCAATGAAGAACGGGAGGACAGTGACAGTGACAGTGACAGTTCCTACTGACATGCTATATTGTATTTTTAAAATTTAATACTTTATTTTCACATTTAGGTCATTAATCCAACTGATCTTCATATTATTTGACTTGATTTTTGAGTTCATAGATCATTTTTTTATTTGGCAGTTTTTTGTGGCTGTGTTCAGAACATAAGTTTTGTTCTGTGCTAGGGGATCACTCCTGGCAGTGCATAGTACCATACTATCTCTTCTCCAATTTTATTATTTCTCCTCAGGTGTCTAATACTGTATTATAAAATATGTGCTTCTACCACTAATTGGAAGTGTTAGCTATACTGTAAATTAGATTTTAATATTTGTTTTCTTTCTGATTTTTAGTTTAGTTCTTTGATTAGAAATGTGTGAGGCATATCATTATATGAATGAACCATATTTTTATAATAGTTACCACTATTTGACAAAATTCATTCATACTGAATTATGTGACTTCTTTGGAAGTGTATTGTCATTCAATACATTACACCTTTCACAAAATTGATATTAACATGTCAAATTACACATTCATAGATGTATAAAAATTATGGATTTTAGAATTGTATTGAGTCTGTTGACAAATTAAGGGATAATTGTCAATTTTCCATAATAAATAGACCATTTCATGATACACTAATGTATTTGCAGCATATTGTTTATATTTCGGAGTGTGCTTATAATCTCACTCCCATATTTGCTATCATTTACATAAAACTAAAACCATTCTACTACCTTAATGTATGGATTGGATGGAAAGGTTTGAGCATCTCAGGCCTTACTTCTGGTTCCAGTTATTCATAGTGGTGTCAGGGGACCAAATGTAGTGCCAAGGATCAAACCTGGGTCAGTTGTGTTCAAGGAAAACATTTTATCTCTTACGCTATTTCTTTGACATTGAAATATTTTATTGAAATTCCATGCGTTTTAGAAGA